AAAGTGAGAGTGAGTGTGTTTGCATTATGTATTGATGCCAGTGTCTGATGTGATGAACGTCCGACACGGCTTTTTCTGTAAGAACTTAATGGGTTATTTATCGTTTATAGAAATCAACTGAATGTGTGAGAAAACTGTGCCATTTTGAGAACTAACAGAAAAAAAAACATGTCTTACGCCTAGTTGTCTTTTTTTATGTCTTATGCCTATTCTTGTGTTTCACTGTTATGCCTGTGGTTTGAAACAGTTTTAGTCCTCATATGTCTGGGTGTCTTTCAGAGCCTGCCGATACAATACATAATAATAATCAATAACTTGATAAGGCAGAACACAATACAATGCAGGGGAAATTCAATTCAATACATTATAATATTATATATTCATTTATTTTCAACCCCTTTTTCATTTCAACCCCTTATCCATTTCTGGGCGGGGGGGTTGGCAATGAGAGCTGCCAACCAATGCTCGTAGCACCGGCCCCTCGCTGATCCTCTGCAGGGGGTGAGTCCACAAGAAGATGTCCGCTACATCAGTGGTGCCACAGCCTTGGTGTTTCAGCGGGAGCTTCACGCAATGTGGGGTTAAGTGTCTTGCCCAAGGACACAACGACAGCAGACATTAGTGGGAGCAGTTGGTCCCATGATGGGCTCGAACCCACAACCTTCCGGCCAAAAGGACAATGCTCTACCAACTGAGCTACTGTCGCCCAAAATGGTTCAGTAAAACACAATTTATGCATTTATAATACATTCATTGACAATACAGGGATATTACTCAAAATATGGTCAAATTTAAAAAAAACTCAAATCTAAAAATACTTGATTGGTTTTGTAAGCATGGAAATGGTTTTGTCAGCTTGGAATTGTATCCAAGTTTAAAAGATAATTGTCTACTTATACCTACTTGATATGGTGTAATTCTTGTCTAATGCAAGTTTTATGGGACTTTGAGGAATTTGGACCAATCTCTTGAGTTGAATTGTTGCCCATTACAATAATCTATAACTCTTCCTTAATCTTAGACCTATACATTCAGAGAAACAATCAGGAAAAGCAGAAATCCTCCATCAATAGCGTTAATAATAGAACAAACACTGATGTAATAGGGAGTGAATACATGTGGGGGATTGGGCGACATAATGGGAGGCCGTAAAGAAAAAGAGCTATTGCAAAGAATTTACCACACATTACCAAACGCTGCGCCACAGGAGGAGAGGGGAGAGGCTAAATGGCGTGTTTTATTACTACCAAGGATTATGGGCTCAGAGGCTGCACAGATGCACACTTGTTGAAAGCATGGAGTCAATAACACAAAAGTATAGTATGGACATGGGGATTAGCGCATATAAAAACAAAACAAAAAAAATCTGTAATGATTTGACAGAAATGATTAGCTTTAGGCAATAGGGCAGAAATATGTATAATTTATCATTTGAATGCACTTGGAAAGCAGCCGCTACATTTGTTCCACTGGTTCTGTTTGCAGTTGCGATGAAAATGAAAACCCCCAGATGATTCTGTGGCAATCCATGAAGCAATGTGTTAAAACATGTTTCGGAATATCTATAGGTTAAATATGGAGTAGGGATTTCTGACTTTTTCCCAACAGAAAGAGCCTTGCCTACGTGACATTTTATGAATAATCTTTGAGAAAAATTTGTATGTTTTACACACCGACAGCTGATTGAGTGAGGGTCGTCCTATTGTTGTAACTTTTCTGATCTAAAAGGTACATTCATGTGAAAACTAGTGGTAGAATCAAACTGTTCTAGAGCCAGTAGGATGACCACAAATGGGCCACAATATTCAGGAATTGTATGTTTTAATGCTTATATCTTCTGTTTAATAAAATAATATACATTTATTCAATATATTGCTCGTCTAGTGAAGGGCAATGCCTGAAATGACTGCTGCCTGAACAGACTGCTGATGGGAGTTGTTTAGGAGTTGTACAAACCTTTTCCTCTTTTCATACATTCCTCACCTACATGTAAACACAGCTTGTGAGAATCAGATAAATGAGAATGGGATAAAGCATGTGACTGGACAAAAACGGACAAAAAAAAGATAGTTCTACACTTTGTTGGCATTACTGAGTGTGTATACAAAGCATAAGACTCGGAGAACGTTGAAAAACAGCGCTGACTTTGGTTGGATTATGAAAGTGGTGTGACGAGGGTTGTTCCCATCTCTGTACGCCCTGTGGAGAAGCCGCTCGAGGCTCCAGAGCTTTGGACGCTTTCAACAGCATCTTGTAACTTTCCCTTATTACTCACTTACATTGAAGCTGTAATTGTAAACTAAATTGCCATCATACACAAATGGGCAAATGTAATCACACAACATTAAGCATTGGATTTTCACAAATACTCAGCTGTTTGCATCTTAACAGCACAATGAGCAAGTTTCAAACAAGAAAACAGAAACCCATGCGACGAGAAACTGAATACATACATTTTCAATATGAGCACTCAAATGCACCACTGCTTATTTTCTCATTCTAATTCGATTTGTTTCCACACCATTTAGCTCACACTGGTTTACAAGCGGTTTATCTATCGAATGAAATTGGTGTAGGTGGAGAATTCTGTTATTCTGTAAACGCACTCACTATTGACATGTGTGAACGGATCCGTGCAATTTTGGTGTATTGCATTTGTTTACCCAGCAACAAATGAGTATTCCTGGGCGGCAAAAGGTGACTCTTTACTCAAGCCCAGATGACGCAACCCCGGATCCTGAAAGAAATCGGGCTGCTGGACATTCAAGAAAGCGTGCTATCCATCCATTTTCTTCCACTTAATCCATTTCTGGGTCGGGAGGGAGGCACCCAATTCACAGTGCACCAGCCCCTCACTGATCCTCCTGCAGGTGCTGAGTCCACAGGAGGACGGCTGCTCTGTCAGTGATCTTTCAGTGGGGTTAAGCGTCTCTGCAAAAGGATTCAACGACTGCACCGATCAGTAGGAGCCCCACTGTCACGGGGCCTTGTCTGCTGAAAATATCGCAGTTAAAAATGAACGCAGTGGTTTTTCCACGCCTCCATTGTCGCGCACAGATTTACATACGTCTTTATCAATCGAATGACATGGAAAATTGGGTTTAGTAAACGCGCTCGCTATAGAAACATGTGTGAATAGAGCAACGGTGGCATGACGTTGGTTTGCGGAGAGCTGTGTGCATCCCTGCAGGTGGAGATGTAATGAGCGCAGGTGCCTGGCCTGGTGAGAGCCTCCTGTGTCGCTCGCATGCACTGTAAGCATGTGTCGGTGCGCTGGGAAATGCACTGTGACATGTCGCCTTCAGCACCTGTAATTGCTGTAATGATGATGGAATACGAACGCAGACGAGAGGGTTTTTTTGGGTCTGCGCCGGTATGCGCCTATTCTCCCGACGTATGCGTTAGTACGTGAAAGGTGAAAATGTGTGGGAGGTTGGTACGGGATAAGTATTAATAATTTACACCAGTTTTACATATAGAGATTATGGTCTGTGTTGACTACATGTGTTGACTACATGCATCTAGCATCCGTCCTCATTTTTAGTTTATTCTTAGTCAGTTTTGCATATTCATATTCATTTCAATTCAATTTATTCTTGTATAGACCTAAATTAACACAGTAGTTATCTCAGACGACTTTACAAAACCGTTGATTCGCCAACACAGATCAGAGAATCAAATGGTTTAAACACAAAAAATGCAAGGAAAATAGTGCCTGGAATTGTTTTTGAATTGTCAAACATATCTGAAATAAAACTAAACATGTCAAATTGGAATAGTGTTCAAAAGTTAATTAATTTCTATAGTTACACTAATACATAAATGATATAGATTCATTATATGCAAATTGACAAAGCCTTGGTTATATTTTTGATGATTATGGCTTGAGACGTTTTATTTGAGGTTTTCAGAGGCTGTGATAAATAAAAAGCTTGATACATCTCACGTGTAATGAGTGTCATATATGAGTTTCACATTTTTAATTGAATTACAGAAGTAGATGAAGTTTCTCCTGCCCAACAAAAGCGACGTTGTACAAATAACTGCAGTTATTGTTTTTATAATCAAAAAGTACTAACATATTATTTGCAATTCAATCAATATCGACTAAAAGCAGTCCTCTATCAACTGAACTATGACCAGAGATATTGCTAGTATTGACTATATACATACAAATGGTGGACTTCACCTTTGCACATAACATTTATAAATAAGTAATCTTTATTTATATAGCGCATTCCACAGACCAAGGTCACACACAGGGCTGCAGAATTTTGGTCAAGCAGTAATTCTCATTCCCTTCACACACGGTGAGAACAGAAGTGAATTATAACTATAAACTTGTTCAAGTTTATAGTGGTAGGGAAACAGGAGCACCTGGAGGAAACCTACACAGAGAACATGCAAAGTCCACACAGAAAGGCCTGGAGGTGGAATCGAACCCAGGATCTACATGCTGTGTTGTGAACAAATTACCCCTGATGTGTGATGTGGCTTCTGTTGGAATGAGCCGTATGTGTTGTGTGTAAGTAATTAAGAAGTGGTGTGTTGCCTCAGATCATATAAACTCAGCGATGCATAAATGGTGAGAGACAATGTCACAACATTTAGTTTGAGTTGTTCACAGAATGTATGCACGATACTAAAGCTACCATCATCAACATCTGGAGCATTGCAGTCGATAGGCTTGAAGAAATATTACGTGGGGTTTATAGATTATAGACCCTAGAATTCTATGTATTGATGTAACATTGGCTGTGTTGGTGGTTACTTTGAGAATCGAAACCTCTTTTTCAGGAACTTTATAGATAAAGTAGATAAAGAAAAACAAAAAATGGTGAATGGATCTTGCACAACTCTAAACTTGTGCAGTATACAACACTCCTGTTTTACATGGCAACATCACATGAGACCCAATCGAACGTGTCTCTCTCTGGTTTATTTGTAAAAACCACACACAGACAGTGTTGGCACAAAACCCTTGTGTGACAAAGTCTTACCTCAGCATCGTGCCTGTGCAGGGCGTATGCTTTATGCACACGCTGCATTGTTGCGTGGCTCATTGTGGCTTCTTCAAGCAGGAGTTCCAGCAGCATCACCATCTGGTCCGAGGACAACTGTCAGGGCACAAAAAACAACTCAAAGTAAATCACTTCGCAATAACATCGCATTCATGACATCAGCAAGTTCAGCGTCGAGAAAAGTATCAGGAGCAGCAAATCCAGCCTCTGGTTAATTGCGTGTGCTGGCCTCTATAGCAACACATTTACATGAACTTTATTATCTAGGAGTTTTATTTGCTTTTTGTGCTGCTTGGGAGACTAATAAACACCTTATCAAAATCTGTCAGGTTATTAATGCCGCCTTTTAAACAGGGAAAAGCACCGCATAATAAAAGCGCTCCGAAAGGGTAATTACATAAATATGGTAAACCGAGTGCATTTTTTCCGCGCCATTAATATCGCTAAGAAAAGGGCAGGCAAGCACATATTTTGAGCAAATGTTTTCAAGCGCGAAATGATTCAAAATTTCTTAGACAAACGTTCTCTGTCGGTAGAAAAAAGAAAAGTCAATTCCTACTGCACGCTCTGATTGTGTTATCCCCAGGTAAACCAAAGGGAGGGAAGAAAAGGGACAGCTATTTTCTTGTGATGACAATGATCTTTGGGGAGCGGGGGAAGTGTGAAGAGGCTTATGGAAGGATGAATGTAGGCGGAGAGACTGTATGAGGCTGGGCTTGGGGGGGGGAAACAGCCGTGCCCAGTCGTGCCCAGGCTCCCACTGACATTTTCAGCTCGGTCCCAGTCTGGGATTCAATTAATGGCAGAGCTGTCCCCTTGAGAGCCACGTGAAAATAGGCAAGTGTGAAGCCAAGGGGAGCAGAGCAAGAGGCATGTGAGCCGCAGAGAGGAACAAAGATTGTTTGGAAGCAGGGATTATGGCTCAACAATTATGGAAAATATTTCATGAGATGCATCTGATAAACAATGCAGTTGTAATTATAATATTTGTGATGTATCTGTAATCATCATTCATGATCATGTTTAAAATACACATTTTAAACTATGAGCTGATACAAGATTCTCATGTATTTTAGAACAAAAAGGCCTCAAGTACACTCTACATGTTTCATCAGAAGAAAAATACAGATCTATTTATGGACATGATTGTGTAGACCTGACCTTGTGTAGGAATGCTTGTTCTTCAACGTATTTGTATGCACTTACAAACAGCTCAAACTGAAAAAGGGTTAATCCCATGTCATTGGAAATTGAATATGAACATATATAGGACTGTTGAGTTTTGGGTCTAAGGCGGGGGTGTCACACTCATTTTGGTCAGAATGAGTTTGGATTTTCTATTCTGGTAGATTTTTCTAACTTCACTTTATGGATTGATTATAAACTAGACCAAATACAAAGAGATGTAATTGATGATTATTGTATATATTTCATGATTTAACGTCTAATAATGTGTGCCTTTGAAATGATGTATAGCATGCCATACTAGTGCATTTCCATCAATGCTGCAAGTTAATAAGAATTTCAAATCCTGTCAGGGGCCACTAAAAAGGCTTTGAGTCTGAAATACCTGATCTGAGGACAAACCAGGACATTAGAACATTTATGAATATAGGTCATCCTGCTACCCGATGGACCAAAGGCTTCTATGCGTTTCTTATTATTGCACTTCCCATGTTCTAACTGTTTGATATTCTAACCTGTTGTTACCAAAATGACAATTGTGTAAGGTTCTCCGAGAGACTGTGATGCAGGGTTATGCAAAAATAAATTGAATTGAAATCAAATTGCCAGAAATAGACACTCTAGACACATCAATTTCCAATACTCAAACTTGATACAAGTTTAAAAATACCGTTTCACTGCTTAAATACATGAACTTGCGTGCTTTACTTCTGGTGTCAAAGGAGGTGAAAGCGTTTTTCCCTGGAGCTGCTAGGAAAACTGAGCTCGAGCCGGGAAGCTTTTTAGCATGTTAGTGCAAGTGCTGTGGGACTAACACCCAGGCTCAAGTTGGCAAAAGCTCAAATCAAACAGGGCTATTACTGGCACCATGCACACAGGCAGCCATTTAACCGACTGAAAAATCTGATACCGCTTTGGTCCTCAGCGCCAGTGGACTATGCCCTCTCACCCCCACCCTCCATTTTGTGAGGACTCTGAAGTGTCTCCATCTCCAAGGGGGTCTGTGTAAAGTGAGATGTCCAGAACTGCATACTTGACTGGATCCCACGCCGCCGCACTGAATGCATGTCGCCGCAGTGATCAATAACGTTCTTTTGTTTTGGAAGAATTTTCCGCGAGCTGTAGAAAGATATAGAGAGAAAGCCGAATGCGAATGGTGGAATACTGCTCACCTCAGATGCATTTTAAAGTCGAATTGTGTCTTTATCAAATCTGAAATGGTTTGCTATGTTTGGTTTTCAGGACTAAACATGGGGAGGCAGCGTTTCAGATTTATGCAGCTAAAATGTCTAAATTTGTCTTCCTGGGTATGTGAGAGAAGCTTTTAGTCTGTCAGTGTTTCAAATCCAGGTTGAAAACACTTTAATTTTGACTTTTATTTATTTGACTGATATTTTAAATGTGTTTTTCAATTATGATCGCAATTGTGATTTGAACATTTCCGTATGGTATTTTAAATTGTTGTTTTATAAATGTTTTATTGAATGTAATGTAAAGATTTTTGATTTGCTGTTGTACACAATGTGCTGTACATATATTTGATTGATTGATAAAGAATTTTGGCAAAAGATTGGATTAATATTGTGTCAAGTCGAGCATGTTGCGAAAAAAAAAAAAGTTGGGTTAGGGAAAGATAGCATTAAGCTTTTTAATCTCATTTAAACATGGGATGACAGGATATCTTTACCTTTTTTGATTTTTCGTTTACTTTTTAACTGAGATTTTCTGACAATTTTGGTTGTAAACATGGGGATTTCATATTCATGCAGCTATAATATGGAACTGTCTTCCTGAAAATGTGAGACAGGCTTCTTTCATATTGTTATATTTATATTTATAGTATTTATATTTACTCTTTTTAAAGTACTGGGATTATTTATGACTTTAATGTGGTTGTTTCTGTCTTGTTTGGTTCAGCACTTTGAGTTGCCTTCTGTATGAATTGTGCTATACAAATAAACTTGCCCTGCCCAGCCTATTATGTTTAACACTCGCAATTCACTCCAACATCTCCAAACATAGCTGTAAGCAGCGTTGGAGTCGGTTCTTTCCCGTCGTGAGCATAGTTACCACGCCGCTTATGCTGGAACATGCCCCACTCTGCGTCCCACCTCTCACTAACCTTCTCTCAGCTCTCCCCGTGCATTCTTCCCATGCATTTCCCAGATAACACCGGAATAATTGCGGCTTGTGTAAACAGCATGAAACGCGATTAGTAAAATTGAATACAACCCCGACGATGCGGCGTGTCTTTCAGCCAGGTTTCGGCAAGCGGCGGCTGTGCCTGAGTGGGCGGGGGACGGGGACGATGAAGAGCAATTATAGGGGAAAGGTGAGCTGTGTGGCCTACTGCTGGCTTATTAATGGGCAAAGGAAAAGGCCACTTACAAACAGCCACTATACACACACACAAACACACACACACACGCACACACACACAGGGCAACAGGAGGTCAAACAAAACCTCACAACTTTTACTAGAACTGCAATGAAAAAGCTTTACCATGAAACCCATTCTCCTCCCAAGATATACTACAGTCATAGCTGTAAGTAAACACACATAAGGAGTGGGTGCAATAAGTCATGGCGGAGGGCTGTCACTTTGCAGGTCTGAAATGTTATTAATACATCTATAATATTTCACAGTATGGAATTGGATTTATGCACCTTATAGGTTACAGCTTAGATTTGTGGAGCAGTGAACGTGACCCTTTAGGCACAAGACATATATTGGGTGAAACAGACAAAAAAGTGGAGCCCTAAGAGATGGAGGACTACTAAATCAATAAGAGAAATGAAATAAAAAAGGTGTAAAATGTAGGGGGAGGTTTATTGGACATCTGTATGCTGTATAGAAAGTGTTCTGGTTCAGGAGCACATGTAGCGATTCTACAATTTGGGAATTTCCACACATCGCTCTAAAGAGAAGATAAGATAAGATAAACATTATTGATCTCACAATGGAGAAATTTACATGTCACATTTGGCACAGATAGAGAATCACTCAGATCGTGCAAAAGACAAAAGAATGGGAAAATGTTTGGGTAAAAAATAAAGTCTATAATAGGGCTGAAACAACTAATCGATTAATCGACGACTAATCGATTATTGAAATAGTCGACAACTATTTTAGTAATCGATTAATCGTTTTCTGGTTCACACGGACTCAAACAGAGCAAAAATGACATGAAAATGTAGTATTTTTGATTAAAACAGACTTTGTTTTTATAATTTCATGAATATCTGTCTGTCTCATCCAATCAGATAGCAGAATTAGCACAAAGAGCCTGTTACAAACATTTAAGTTTACGCCATCAATACGTCCTTGAGTGTTGCCACTTTAGCTTTTTGTGATGAAAAAATAAATGTTTTCTACACAATTCACAGCCAAGCGATTACTCGATTAATCGTAAAAATAATCGATTGATTAATCGATTACAAAATAATCGTTAGTTGCAGCTCTAGTCTATAATATAAGCACCGTGATTCTTAAAGGAACCATGTACAGTATGCATCTCAAACAAAATGAGTGAGTCGCCTATATGCATCCAACAAGATACATTTCTAATATAAACTTGCCTTTTCCGAGTGCGCTCGAATGCATCACTGCCCATTGTCTCATTCCAATCCAATTGACGCGTATACATGCAGCTCAATCGCATTAGAAACAGCGCGCACAAGAACCTAAGAATTGACTTGTTTTCCACTCCTCTATTGGCGTGCAGGGGTTTACATGTGTCTTCGTCAATTGCATTAAATAGTAGGTGGGAAATTCGATTTTCAGTAGTGCTTTGTAAACGCTCTCATTGAGATTTAACTCATTGCATCAAGGGCTCACTGCTATAGGTTGGGTTCATGTTTTTTTATTCGAGTTTGACATAGTGGTATGCGCATACAGTAATAACTTTGTG